TATACACACACACACACACACACACACACACACACACATATATATATATGAATGACATATTTATATATATATTGACCGCGTGTATGTTGTATGACGTGTACATCGAACACACGGCTACATGTCTGAACACCTGCCCAGTAGGACATGCCATACATAAATTTGCTTGTATTGTGCTTGTACACAATTGGGTGGCTGCCTATTGTTGATATGGTCACCTGATGAAATGTGTGTGTCAAAGTACTATGTCGGCCTATCTATACAAACCTATTCATTCCAAGGGACAGTTGTACATGCCGTGGAAATCCGTTACGAACGCATTACGCCTTACCTGACCAACATATAAACAATATGGCTTATCGTGTACTGGATACGCATTCGAACCACATTTTGGCCTGTCCAGGTCCTTTATTCCTGGGCCGAAGCCATTGGCATCAATTTCTTGCCCTTCTATTCGTGGGTGGGCGTATGGACAGCGGTCTTCATAATGGTAAGTATGCATGTAGGAGAGGTACACAACTGCGTAAGTATGCATGTAGGAGAGGTACACGGCTGCGGTTGTAAGTACTATAGGACGCCAAGCAATACATTTGCCCTTGAAAAACCGGCACAACATGATCACGACTACGACTGGTTTTGCCCGTGTGTTTAACTAGTACGATGAATGTGTATTTGTGATGTTACTACTTCCCAACGCATGAGTGCATGGCATACTCTGTAAAGCCCACACACACCCTTTCTCTGCACCAGTTTGTGTCATAAATAGTTGTAACCATTGATGCCATCTGTATACATCAATCTCAGCCAACAATCTCACACAACCCACTTTTGCACCAATTTGTGTTGCCGGTTATCGTATTCATCGACTCGTCAAAGTGTACACACCAGTCTCACACAAACCATGTCTATTTATATCTGTGTCGCAGATGATCGTTGTTATTGACGCATGAAAGTGTGGATATAAGTCTCAGATACCGCTGACACACAGCCCTTCTTCGCACAACTCTTGTGGTCTGTGTTACAGATTATCGTATTCACCGATGCGTGCTATCTCATCAAATACGTGGACGCGTTCACGGAAGAGATCTTTGGCTTCCTTATCAGTGCCATCTTCATTGGGGAGTATATTAAGCCGCTGATAATCAGTCGCCAGGACGATTCTACGGAAGTGTTCCTGCTGAACTTGGTATGTGTTGGGGAATAGCACGGAGATGTATATGTGTACGTAGTTTTACGTACAAATTTCTGATATATATATATATATATATATGGTATTTGTGTACGTTTACAAATAGTGAGGTGATACCCGCTGAGAAATATGTTAAACCACTGAAACATTCGCTTAGATTATAGTACGAGTACGGATGGATATACCCATAGTGTCACTCTGGCACTTACTACTTACCTGACAAAGATTGTACATGAACTAACACAATTGTTCATCCATCTTCACACATAGGTGTTATATACAGGCACGTATATCAGTTACTTACATGTTCACACTGTTTAGACAGGACATATAGTGCGTGTATATCTCGCTATCAATCAGTGGTGATCCCTCTACTCACGCGGATGGTTGGCAACAAGCACGCACCTATCTCGGCCACACACACGATCACTGCTGCTTTGTCATGACACAACAGCGGATGATACGTTTGCGGCATATATTGTATATCAAACCAACACTAACATACATTATTTCACTCTCTACACACAGGTACTGGCGACAGGCACGTATCTGGTCTCTGCATATCTACTGATGGCCAAGCGCAGTTTCCTGCTTCGTCCTATAATCCGCACACTCATCTCCGACTTCGGCGCACCCTTCGCCATCATTGCTATATCTCTACTGTCGTATGCATTTGATGTGCCAGTGGAAAAACTTCCACTGCCCACACGGTCTGGCTTCTCGACTACGAACGGGCGGAGTTGGTTGGTGCCGATGACAGATATAGGTATGGGATGGTTTCAACATATTATCCCCATTTACATAATGTATATATATATATATATATATATGTATATATATATACACACACACACACACACACACACACA